CTCCAAAAGTATGACAAAGAATTCCTTCAAGCAACAACAATCCAAGTTCAACTTTCTTCTTTTCCATTAACTATTTCTGCAGTATATTGTCCTCCCCGGAAGATTAGCGCTTCACAATTCTCTGATTTTTTGGGTCGCTTGGAAGTAAATTTATTGTCGGCGGAGACTTAATAGCAAGCACACGTTTTGGGGATCAAGACTGATTCAATCCAAAGGGAAGAACACTTATGAAGTGCTTGATCAAACAATGCTATTCTACTCTTTCCACAGGAACTCCAACCTACTGGCCTCTGACATAAGAAAGAAGCCGGATTTACTGGATTTTTTATAATAAAAGGTTAAATTCAAAGTATACTGATGTTAATCCAAGCTATGATCTTTCATCAGATCACTCCCCGATTATTGCCACTATTTCTTCTTCTATTATGAACGTCTGTAATCCTGTTAGACTTCATTCAACAAAAACTAACTGGGAGCTATACCGTTGTAAAAATAGAAGAGAAGATAAATCTCAAAATTAGTCTAAAAAATCCAGCAGAGATTGACCACGCTGTTGACAAGTTTAACGAAATTCTTCATGCAGCAGCTGTAATAGCTACTCCAAAACAACCGTCAAGCAGGAGCAATCGCTGTCCCTGGAAATTAAAAATTTATTAGCAGATAAAAGGAGAGCAAGACGCAAATGGCAATCAAGTCATTACCTTCGGATAGAAATATTTTTAATAATTTAAGCAACAGGCTTAAATTGAGGCTCAGAGAGATTTCCAACCAGAACTTTAACAAGTATGTATCAAATCTTAATAGATTTGATAATTCAATCTGGAATCCTATTAAACACAAACAAAAACCTCAAATTAGAAATCCACTATTCGATGGGATGAGCGCAATCACCTACACTGGGCAAGAAGTGACGCAGAAAAAAGCTGATCTATTTGCTGAATATCTGAGTTCAGTTTTTCAACCTAATCCAGATCTCTCAAATACAGCGGACACCAGTTTGACTTCATTACCTTAGTGAAACTCTGAAAAACAGTATAAACTTCTTCTCTTTAAAAATGATAGTTAAAGAAATTGCTAAACTGAAGAATAGGAAATCTCCTGGATTTGACTTGGTGACTTCAAGAATGCTTAAAGAAATGCCAAAAAGGGATTTATCTTATTAAATTATATATACAATTCGATAATAAGATTAAACTACTGGCCAACCTTCTATAAAACATCCATAGTAAAAATGATACATAAAAGTGGGAAAGATCCAAACATGGTTTCTTCATATAGACCGATCAGCCTTTTGCCTATTGTCTCGAAAGTGCTTGAAAAACTGCTACTCCAAAACATCTTAGCTAATACAAATATTTTTCCAGACCATCAATTCGGCTTTCGGAACCAACATTCTACAGTTCAACAGTGCCATAGAATTGTAAGCGTTATCAATAATACCTTTGAGGCTAAGAAATTCTGTTCCGCGATTTTTCTAGATGTGAGCCAAGCTTTCGACAAGGTGTGGCATAAAGGCCTTTTATTCAAGATTGGCTCTCTACTTCCAAGTAGGTATTACAATATTCTAGAATCCTACCTTGATGGTAGGAAATTTAGAGTCCGCGTTAACTTAAATACTTCAGCATCTCATCAAATCGAAGCAGGTGTTCCACAGGGAAGTGTTTTGGGCCCTTTACTGTATATTCTATTTACAAGTGACTTTCCAACATTACAATCGACCATAACAGCAACTTTCGCTGATGATATTGCAGTACTTTCAACACACATCGATGCATCTGTTGCATCAAGCAATCTGCAAAGCCATCTTAATATTATTGAGGAATGGACAAGGAAATGGCGAATAAAAATTAACGAAAGTAAATCGAGTCATATTTCGTTTACTCTCAACAAGTCAACATGCCCAAGTGTTTACTTTTATGGACGAAAAATACCAAGTAATAATTGTGTCAAATACTTGGGTATGCATCTTGATCGTAGACTGACCTGGAGAGATCACATTTGCTCAAAAGTAAAAGCGATAAAAATTAGAACTGCAGAAATATATTGGCTATTAGGACGCAAGTCAAAATTATTCCTTGAAAATAAATTAATAATTTATAAAACAGTGATAAAACCTATATGGACTTACGGTATTGAATTATGGGGATGTGCCAGCAAGTCTCATATAGCATTAATGCAGCGTGCCCAATCAAAAATACTCAGACAGATAGTTGATGCCCCGTGGTTCGTCAGTAACAAGACCATACATGACGATCTGAATATTTTATATATCGAGGAAGTAATAAGAAACTTCAGTGTCCACCACTTTCAAAAACTAGAAGCCCATCCAAATAAAATAGTTGCACAACTGCTTGAGATGCCACATTCCAGGAGGCTCAAGCGTAAATCACCAATGGATAATATCCTAATCTAGCAAATTGTTTAATGGAACAATTTCTATATTTTTTAAGTAATCATCGAAATATGTTAGTTAAGTTAATTTAATTTTTTTTTGTAGTATTATTATATTATTTTATTATTTACTATTATTATATATTACTATAATTATTAGTTACTATTTTTATGTTATTTTTATTTATTCTTATTTAGTTTATTCTTTTTAGTTTATATATATATTAGCAATGCAGCTCATAGAATATAAGTACTGTTCTGATTGCTGTAAAATAATAAATGAATAATAAAAAAATAAAAATTTAGAATAAACCGACGTTGTCTAATATTCATAAGAGTTATCTAAACTGAATTAAAAAGTTAAAATCATTTATTTAAAGTATATAAGTGAGCTTTAGAACTCTAGCCAGAATTTAAATTAAAATCTGAATGGAATGGAAAATTTTTTTTGCCAAAATAAGCAGAAAGTTTTTTGAATCATTCGAATCAGATGCTTAGTTCTCTGAAAAACTGCTATTTTTAGCACATTTAGTTCGTTATGCCCGAAATTCGTATTTTCGATATACAAAAAAAAATTTGGAAAATTTTTTTTTGCCAAAATAAGCAGAAAGTTTTTTGAATCATTCGAATCAGATGCTTAGTTTTCTGAAAAACTGCTATTTTTAGCACATTTAGTTCGTTATGCCCGAAACGGCTGGACCTGCCTTTGCCAAAATCTAATCACCACTTCTTACCATCATTACGAATCGAACGTTTTTTAAGTCATTCAAATCGGTTGATCCGTTCTCTTAAAAACTGACATTTATAGCACCTTTTGCTTCATATCTCCGAAGACGCTCGACCTGTCTTCTTCAAAAACTAATCAGCACATGTCCCTATCAATAGGAATCGATTGAATTTTTCAAATCGGTTCTTCCGTACGCCCGAAATCATCGACGAAAAATTATCTCCACACACACACACTCACATTCATTTTTTCTGAGATATGCCAAAATGTTTGGAAACCTTTGAAACGTAAAGATATATATTTGAAAATCATTTTCGATTTTTTTGCGAATACTATAACGTACCGTACGGGAAGTTAACAAGTACCTAATGTATATAAATAGTCAGCACCCGTCATTAAGTTATTGAGAAATTTTAGAAATCGTGGTTATTTTAATCGAAAAGTATTTGCACACTATTTTATTTGAATCGCAAATCGGTATATATTTGGAATACAATTGTATCCAGTATTAGAATGTGTTGCTACTAATTCTTCTGTTTCTCGACTTTCATTGTTTGCTTTAAGAAATATATTGTTGTTACATTAAATTCAATGCATCATGTCGAAAATATATTAATCTGCATTTACATATATTTTTGTGTTCACGATTTTTTAATCCGATCTGCTGCAAACTTTGTTTGAAGGGCATTCTAATCATTGCAAACATTTATTCAAATACGCACAAGTTGTTTTGCACAGTGCGAACAGTATTGTTCCGTGTATTGCCGGTAGTCTAATACAATGAATTAGAAAATTGCCTTTATTGAGTTGAACTCGGTTGCTTTAATCGTCTGATTTTGTGACCAAAATGTTCTCGACCAGAAATGATTTGGCAAAATTCAGTTGCGAGTGCAGTAGACGAAATAAGACTATAAATGTGATGTGCTCAACTAGCTTGTATGGGAACGATAAGCATTTTATAAAATAGAACAACAACACATTTTTTTAATTCATAGGATATATTAATTGTTACCCAAATTGTTATTATTGTGCAAATACTCAATCAGTTATCTCATTGGTATTAGTGCTTCTTTGATAAAAGTGATTTGTTTCAATAATGAGTGGTAAGACAAAATTTGCAACTATAAACATGATAAATTATGACGGTGCACTCAAACTATCTTAATGATTACACATTTAAATTTATTGCATGTTTCTCATGAACTTATAACTTTGATATCAGCGGATTAAGTCATTATTGATAATACGGGTTCTTGAATTGCGCACGCTGAAAATGAAACTATTATTTTGTAGTTCGTTTAACTTAAACTTGATAAAAAAATCTGGATCGAACTAGATTTTAATTTTCATATTAGATCAGGTTCACTTTTAATATATTTTTATCAGTTTATACTAAAAGATTGAATGCCAGAATAATGCATTTTTATTTTATATGTATTGTTTTATATGTAAAATTAGTTTATAGTTTCAGGTATATAAAAATCAATATAACACAATTATAATAATTATGAATCATGTATGATGAATTCTAACATTAGTAAAATGCAGTTCTAAATGTTTGAGTTATTTTTATTCAACAAATGAAAAATTGCACTAATTACATTGCAAGATTTTTCTAGCTCTTTCTCATATTTTGAGATAACATTAAATCTTTAAGAGAGTATTCTAGTGTAAGGGCGTTCATTTTAGGTCATTTTTAAATCATCATAAGAAGGGCAATTGAATTTTCTTATATTATATTTTTAATCAAGTTATATATTGTATTATTATGTAATATCTTTATTATTCCAATTAAAATTTTAACTCTAAAACGGGAAATAATGTATACAAACAAATAGTATACATTATATTCACCATGTTATAAAATGGTTTGCTCATACCATGGAGTTAGCCCAGTGCTGTAGTTGAATCAGCATGCAAAAAATTAAACGATTTTTACAAACTTTTCAGCTGATAGAAATGTTCAAAATCTCGTGTCTAAAATTAAGGAAGAAACCAAAACACAATTAAAAACTTCAATAAAAAAATGTATCGGGTAAGTATATATATTTAAAAAAATAGATGTAAGTGGCATATTGTTTTTGCTAGTTACATGAACATTTCGATATGTGTAAATGTAAATTATTCAACTTAATTAATGAGAGATTTAGTAAATTTTAAAATTGTGACAATAAATAGTACAAATGTTTATTTTGATAATAGCTTTCGCTTTACTTATCGTCCAAAAAAAAACTACATATAAGTTTTTATATTGATTAATTTTTATTTATTCAACGCATTTTATTCTACCCAGTGTTCTAAAAATATATTTTATTTACGCCTCAAAAATTTTGCACTTACCTGCTAATTATAATATATAAGTCTACAGTCGCAAAATTATCTAACGCGAATCCTAATCGAGTTTCATCAAATGGCTTTTAATTTTTTTTAAATCATTGCAGTTGGTTTTGAGAAGTTTTCTAAAGGTCAAATTTGGCATATACATGCTATTTCCAATTTTTGTGTAAAACGAATAGTATGACTTAATCCATTGAGAAAATATAAAAATGGCAAATTTGATTTTCTGGCTAAAATATAGATTTTTTACTTGAGAAATCAATTATAAAATATAAATCTATACATTATCTGTACCATACTTTTCAATTTATTTTTATAATAAATCCCAATAATTTTGAATTAAATATTTTATTAAAAAAATTAAAATATCCCAAAATAAAGAGAGCAATAAACTACGCCCACGGATTTCTAGTCATATGCTAAATTTTGACCAAAATAAAACATTGCTGATATAAAGTGTGTCCCATATAAATAGCGATATAATATAATAACAAGATAATAGTATATGTAATACATAATTATAATAACAAATATAATTTTTTAGTCTTACGACCAATTGCTTCGAGGCGCGTGTAAGATAATTCATAAACCTCGAACTCGTAATTTAATTTCATTGATTAAATTTTATGTATCATATATATATATATATATATATATATATATATATATATATAATATATATACGATTAAGAATGTTAAATATAGTATAGGAAAATATTATACTTTTATATATTATATTAAAACTACTTTATTACTACTAAAAATACAATATTGTAAGAAAATTTTTATGTAATTAATATCATTTATTTAATTATTATTTTTAAATAATAATTAAATGAACCCAACTAATCAAATGATTTGATATTCAGTTAATATAACTCAACTAGTAGTGCATAGCATTGTCCTTTGAGGCAAATTGCTAGAACTTTCCGTATCGTAAAATGTTTTCAAACAGATTAATCTGAATATTGTTTATAAACATTCATTATTCGTAATTTATAAACAAAATACAGGGTCTTATACATTGGATGAAGACGTTTATATGAAAAGTAAATAATAAATAAAAATAAATTAAAATTAAAAATAAATTTAATGAAGCGGTCTCAGAATGATGGATCTTATCTCATATTTCTAAGCTAAAATGCTTAAAACTGAATTGCATAGATAGTTATGATATTCAAAAAATATTATTTTGTAGAAATTAGAAAAAAAATAAAATAAAAAAACCTTTTCAAAAACTATTCGTTTCTTCATAATGTCAACAAAAGTAAAATGTTTTTTGAATCAATCAAATCGGATTACTCGTTCACTCAAAAACTACAATTTTTTGCACATTTAGCTCCGTATCTCCGAAACGGCTGGACCTTTTTTTGTCAAAACTAATTACCGCTTCTCCCCATCATTACGAATTGAATGTTTTTTGAATTATTCAAATCGGTTGATCCATATATACATACTCACACATTAATTTTTTGAGGTTTGCCAAGGTATGCCAAAATATTCAGAAACCTTTGAAACGTGAAAAAAAATCATTTTCAATTTTCGGACGATTACTATAACTTACTTTACGTAAAGTTGAAAATGATTGCAATTACGCAAATTGTTCAAAATATTGTAGTAATAATTCAAATCACAAGTTTTTTTTACAAAATTCAAGCTTTTAATTGTAATTATTATAATAAATAAAAAAGTTTCTGATAATGTGATAATTTTGAGTAATGTTATAGTATTTCAAACTTTGCCATTTGATTTCTCTAATATCTAATGAATTATTACAAATCTATATATAAACGAAATAGCTTTGATGCAATAAAATAAAACAGCAATTAAATCAAATCAATACAAGAATGAAGTGAACCTATCTTTTATGAGCAGCTATTACATTAATACTAGAATTATTTTTTCGCAGCATGAAAAATCTTTAAAAAATGTTTTAATTTTAGCGATAGGGAAGTTGAATAACAATTTAATCATTTTGAGATTACAAATTGAATATGTATAATTACGTGTTTAGTTTTATTGCGTAAAGCGGGTCAAATACAAAAGGTTATCTCATTAAGCAGTCGATAGTGGAAATAAATTCACATAAATTAACTGGATTATAATCGCAATTTTTCGACATTTTAATGGCACGGTGTAATTGGAGATATGTATGAACTCACTTTTTTAACCTCCATGCTTAGAAGGAATTTCTCAAACATACATTTATTATTATTCTGTATATTTGTTGACTGATTTAACTTGTCAACAGGGTGTAAAAACATAACACGCTAAATGAATATTTATTTAAGTAAACATTTCAAACATAATTTTCTATATTATTAATTTTTTATAATTTAAAAAAAATGAATCATTGATATATTCAATAGATATGCAAAAGTCGTGCTCTTTAAATTTTATATCTTTAAATTTAATTTGATGACTATATATATTAAAATATAAAATTAAAATACTAATATAGTATAAATTTTTATATATTTATGTTTAAGTTTTTCTGAATAGCTCTTTTCAAGATAGTTATAAGTTAATAGCTATTTTTCAAGATCTTTAATTTTTTTAATAAAAATTATTTGTTTGATGCTTAAATATTTATTCAACTTTTAAGGTGTCTCAAAAAAGATTAACTTTTTGAATGACTAATTAAATATTCATATAAATCAGATACTCAACATACATCAAATGTACTCAAAACTACGTTTGAAAATACATGTATACTTAAAGATACATGAATTTTGAATTGTATGTTCGTATGTTTATCATGTATAATCATTTTAGTTTATTTCTGATTATCATCTATAATCCAGATAATTTTATGTCTATTTATCTTCTGTAATTATAAGAAGATTAATCTTGTTTGATAAATAATTTAGTTTAAAAGAGACCCAAAAAAATGTTAAAGTAAAAATTCTCAATTTTGAAATAATTAAATAATTGTATAAATGTATAATATTTTTTTATTAGTTATCAATAGTTCATGAAGAAGTAAATCTCGAAACGTTGAAAAATGATTTAACATTCCCGAATAAATATTTGAAATAATTAGCAGCCCATTTGTCGAACTAAAAACAGTTAAAAAACATGCTTTAATAATTATACGTTTCAATAATTGATGTGTGTCATCATCATCAATTATACACATCTTTGAATATTAATGTACCAAGACAACAATAAAATCTTGAATTACTAAAAATAATTTAAAAAAATATTTTTGAAAAATATTTGAATAAAGAATAACAGCACTTAACTAACAATTTAAATCAAAAACTATTTGAGAGGTTATAATGCCTACTAGGCAGAAAAATGCTTATCTGTAGACAATCATGTATTTTAAATTTGCTGAATGATGACACAGATCAAGTATCAAAACGTAGACTTAGTTATAAAACAAGAAAAAAATTAATTAAATATTAAAACTAGTGGGGTGCATGGCATCGTGCCTTAAGGCAAATTGCTGGAACTTCCCGTACCAAAAAAAAATTTTTTTTAAAGATTAACATTTTTGAAAAAAAATTACTTTGGAAAAATTAGATTTTTGAGAAAATATAAATTTTTGAAAAAAAAATTTTTTTTGGAAAAAAGATTTTGAAAAAAAATGTTTTCTTCATTTTGAAATATTTTGGAAATTCTGAACTTTTTTTCAAATCAATCGTACTGCTTTAACTCCATAGAGACAAAATATCGAAACGCGTAAGCGCCGCGTCGCCGTCTAACGGATAAAAATTGGTACGGAACCCAGCGCGTCTCCATAAACAGCAATCAAATGTTTTTTGAATAATTGAAATCTGTTGAACCGTCGACGAAAACTTGTATCATTAATAATAACACATACATCCATTTTTGTAAGGTATGCCAAAATGTTCAGAAACCTCTGAAACGTAAAGATATATAAAAATTTTCCCTACGGAAAGTTAATAAAATAAATGAAAAGATTTATAAAAGTACTTTTTATCAACTCATGGCAATTGATTCTTAGATTTATTTTTTGTAACCTAGTATTTGCATTTTTGTGCTTTTGTTTTGATTATTTGTATGCACTAAAGATGAGACAAATAAAGACTCAAAAGGTATGCTACTACAATAAAACATTTTTCTTCATTAAATTTTTATAATTATTGGATGGATGCCCAAAAACACCTCATATCATATATCTTTCACCATCTGAAGGAAACCACTAGTGTTATATCGTAAATAAAACACCCTTTATATATGAAAATGTACCCATTTTAAAACTCATTTTTTACTTTTAATTACTATATTGAAATTCACATATTTGCATAAATTATTTTTTATTCAATATTTTATTAATTTTTGTTGTAAATAATCAAGTATCTTCACACATTGCTTTTGATAATTAACTATGACTCGAAGTTTCCTAAAACTTCTTTTATTGTGGCATTTGTTGACTGACAAATGCGAACTTTTAGCTAACACATGCAAAATTATGAGTTTTTTGGTTTTATTGTTTACTCGGTATTAAGTTTCAGAAGTAATCATATTATATGCATAGTGTGACAGTATTAACTACTACAGCATAAAGATAGCTTGAACTGTACGTTCTTGCTTTCTAAACTGTTCGCGAAAATTCGCGTATCTTAGCACGTGGCTTCTCAAAAACGCGACCTTCAGATTGAGGATCGTGCTTGCTAACGCAATGATTTTTTATAAACTAAATCATATTTCAACAAAGTACAATTTATTAGTCAGTTAGACCGAAGCATCAGTGATAAGAACAACTGATTTTTTTAGTGTCACTGGTGGTGAAGTAATTATTGGATCGTAACATTGCTTATTTGTGCAAATTCTAAATTTCTATTGTATTCTAACTCATAACATATTCAACAATAAAGTCATTCACTCACTGGGAATAGTCTTGTTGTGTGATCAGTGCATTACGTTGGCAAATATTTAAAAAATAATTATATTTTTTATAAAGGAAGGCTGTGTCAATAAAATCAGGTAGGAGAACATTAAGTTCTTCAGTTAGTTTTAGTTGAAGTGATTTAATAAATAAACATTGTAATACTTGTGTGTCACAAAAATATTTATTAAAATTTTCTGTATATTTTCAAATTACTATAAAAATAATGAGTCAATAATTAACTTAAAACAAATTATTACTAACAGTTCATGTTTGTTTTCTTGCTGATAGTGCTAATAGTGTGTTTTCTATGAAAGCAACGTGCAAGTCTGAAGTATAGATTTATTCTTGTCTCAGACGGCAACTGAAAACTTCGGGATTTCGCTCAAGATATAATCAATCCACTCCGGGTAGATATTATCTTGATTTTGAAAAAAAAAACTTCATTGCAAATCACGCATAACGTCTGACATGTAATTTATAACTGGTTTTCTTGTACTTTGAAGGTTACAACTTTTGTTTGCGGGTATAACTGATAGTAGTGGTAGTTGCAGTAGTGGCATAAAATGCATCGAATCGGGCGCGTTATTTCAAACTGCCAAACTCTCATTGGATCGAACATTCAAAATTTGAAATCGGCTCAAAACGTTTTAAGACATTTGAGTGCACAACCACAGTCTTCTAGGAAACCAGATTATAATACAAGTGAAGATGACTACTTCATCACCTTTGACAAAATCAATCCCAATATTAAAGTTATGGAATACATCGTGCGAGGACCAATTGTTATCAGGGCGGCTGAAATTGAAAATGAAATCAAACAGGTTTGCAAAAAAATTATTTATTAATTATATCATGTATATATTCATGCAATTCAAAACAACCCTTTTGCATTTGTGGTATACCAGAATTGGATATTAATTTTTTAAATTATGTTTACAATATTAATTAATAATAGAAATTAAGATTATAAGTAAGATGTACTTTTGAAACTGCCAAATAGTTATTTTCACTATTTACAATGTTTTCAGGGTGTGAAGAAGCCGTTCTCACGCATCATTCGAGCAAATATTGGCGATTGTCATGGTATGGGACAAAAATATATTACTTTCATCAGGCAGGTAATATATTCTTTTTTTTTGGAAATTATTAATTTCAAAATTTGTCTATTAATTTGATTTGTTGATTTTTTGAACAATTAGTATATTTAAAATTATCACATTAATGAATCTTCTGATGAAACAGACATAAAAAATAAACAGCTATAAAATTTGATTTGAAGACATATAAAACTATATACATTGATACATTACATACCAGTATGGCGATGCCACTTGATTAAGTGTTAAAAATGTTTATTCAGAATTTTTAGTTAAAAAAACATATCATTTAAACTGCCTATTTTCAATAAAAAATCGATTTTTTATATGAGCCAAATTGGCTGACTTCAGTAAAAAAAGATATATATAATCAACATCCTCAAATCTATTGTCAATTAAGTCTAAATAGCAAAAATTATTTTGTAGGCATCACAATTTTTGTAAACTTTGCGACTAAAATTTAATTACAAAAAAATAGTCTAGAGGAGGCGTAAAAGTTGAACTTAATTTTTATTTATTTAATTACAAAATAACTAATAATATTTAATTAATTGAATTGAAAGATTGATAGAAAGGGAGATAAATATATAAACAAATAATCACATGAGAAAAAATATCATGAATTTATGATGCCAGTAAATTGTAATTGATATAATTCTAAATATTTAAAATTATATGAAATTTAAAATTAAAGAAAAAAAAATTAATCAATAATTATAGCATCAGTTAACTTAATTCTCATAAAGTTTCCAGTAAAGATCATGAAACATAAGAATTATTATAATTTCAATAATTAATAGATTTAATAATTGATGAATCTATAGCTGGCTTATGAAGAAAGCATCTTCAATTTAACTTATATTAAATAAGATAATATTTATGAGTTTTAAGCATTAATCAAAATAATTTACATACAAATAATTAAAATTTCTGCATATGTCGTGCTTCATTCACTATTCATTAAATCAAATGCTAAACGCACTAATTCTTAGAACTTAATACTACAATAGGTTTTTGCATAATTATTTGCATAGTTATTTTTACAAAGGCCTTTGATTTTCAATGTCAATTTATTAATCAAATTTATTCCTTTCATAAAGGTGATAGCCCTGGTGGCTTTTCCTCCTTTGATGGACAGTCCTGATTTTCCTTCTGATGCAAAGGAAAGGGCAGCAGCTATTTTAGCAAGTTGTTCGGGAAATTCGGCTGGTTCCTATTCCGAATCAACAGGTATACCAATTATTCGACAACATATAGCTGAGTATATCCAAAGGCGAGATGGGGGCATCCCGGCCAGTGCAGAAGATGTACTACTTACCTGTGGAGCAACTGGGGCGATCACAGAATTGATGCAATTGTTGGCATGCAATGAAGGCGATAAAAAAGCAGGTAAAATTAATTATTAATTAACTTTCTGTAGGGTGAGTTATAGTTATCGCGAAAAAATCGAAATTGAAAATTTTTAAATCATTACGTTTCAAAGGCTTCTGAACATTTTGGAATACCTTAGAAAAAATTGTAGTTGGCAAAAAAACGTTATTGATTCTTATTCATAAGGAGACGTGCTGATTAGTTTTTGGCAAAGGCAGCGTCCGATGTCAATAATTAAAATACATTTTACTTGTATTGACAAATTGAAGAACTGATTAAATTTTGTGGAATAATAAGTAAGTAATAATAAATAGTAGTAATAAGTGTTTTCAGTTACATTAATAGTAATAAATTACATTTCTATGGATTCCGTACTAATTTTTATCAGTTAGTTAAAACAGCCAGATTACTTTGAAAAAGAGATGAAAATATATAAAAAAACATTTTTTTCAAAAAAATCATTTTTTTCAAAAATTACAAAGTTCTCGAAAATTTTATTTTTTCAGAATTTTCAAAAAAATTTAAAACTTTTTTACGGAAAGTTCCATCAATTTTCCTTGAGATACGATACAATGCACCTCTAGTTGTACCTTATATTGAGCAATTTAAAAATAATCAAGATTAGCATATACATTTGCTAACGTTAAAAATTGTCTTGACTTAAACTCGAACAACAAAATTTGTAAATATGTATTTTTTTAACTTCCCGTAGGGTAACGGGCCGAAAATCGAAATTGAAAATTTTTACATTTCTCGACGTTTTGAAGGTTTCTGAACATTTTGACATACCTCAGAAAAAATGGATGTGTGTGTGTATGTATGGATACAAATTTCCAGTCACGTTTTCGGGCGCACGGATCAAACGATTTGAATGGTTCAAAAAACATTCGATTCGTTCGATTCCTATCGATAGGGAGAAGAGCTGATTAGTTTTTGGCAAAGGCAGGTCCAGCCGTTTCGGGGATACGGAGCAAAGAGTGCAGAAAATAGAAATAAAGTTTTTGAGTGAACGGAGCATCCGATTTGAATGATCTAAAAAACATTCAATTATTAATGATTGGGAAAAGTGATTATTAGTTTTTGGCAATGGCAGGCCCAGCCATTTCAAAGATATAAAGCTAAATGTGCAAAAAATGGCAGTTTTTGAGAGAACTAAGCGTCCAATTTAAATGATTCAAAGAACATTCAGCTTGTTTTAACAAAATATTTGATTTAAAAAAAAAATGTATCATTTTTTTTGTAATAATTCAGATTTTATTTTTAATTCTGACTAAAGTTCTAATATACTTTACACGAATAATTTTAGCTTTGCAATTCAGTTTATATAATTCTTATAAATATTAGACAATGTTACAATATTTATAATAATCTATTTGAAAACATTCTGTTTTTCTCAAACATTTCGTCACGGTACGGGAAGTTCCAGCAATTTGCCTTCAGGCACGATGCCATACACCCCACTAATTATTTTAAAATTTGTTCTCTCTACTACATGAAGGCTATTCGTATTACGTGAAACGTATCTCGCATAAAAGTTTGGTTATTTAACAAATTTCGTGCTTTAATTCAGCATAAAACGAATATTTTCGTTTCGTTGTTTCATAACATAATTAAATTATATAATCATTTTCTTAATTTGTATTAAAGCGTTTTACTCATAATTTTACATCATTCATTTTTATAAAGATTACAGAATTTTATAGTTAGTTCTCTATTTATTAACTTCCCGTAGGGCAAGTTATAGTAATCGCAAAAAAATCGAAAATGAAAATTTTTATATATCTTTACGTTTCAAAGGTTTCTGAACATTTGGCATACCTTAGAAAAAATGGATGTATGTGTGTGTGTGTGTGTGTGTATGTGTGTGTGTGTGTGTGTGTATGTATGTATGTATGTGTGTGTATGTATGTGCGGATACAAATTTTCGTCGACGATTTCGGGAACACGGATCAACCGATTTGAATAATTCAAAAAACATTTTATTTGTATTGACAAGATGAAGAATCGAATCGAAGCGGTTTCGGAGATATAGAGGAAAAAGTAAAAAAATGGGTCATTTGGCGGTGAAAAATGATCATTAGCTATATGCACATCAAATTATCAGATATTTTATAGAGATTTTAACAATAAGTATACATTTTTGTTAACATTCCTATCGGTTCCGTACCAATGCTTATGCGTTAGGCAGCGACGCGGCGCTTACGCGCTTTATATTTTGTCCCTATGTAGTTCAAGCAGTACGATTGCTTTGAAAAAAAGTTCAGATCTTCCACAATATGTCAAAATAAAGAAAAAAAAAATTTTTTAAAAAAAAAAATTTTTTTTTAAAAAAAATTTTTTTAAAAAAAAATTTTTTTTTTCAAAAAAAACTAATTTTTTGTCCAATTTATAGTTTCTCAAAAATCTTATTTTTTCAAAGTAATTTTTTTTCAAAAATGTTAATCGTTTTAAAAAAAAATAATAATTTTTGGTACGGGAAGTTCCAGCAATTTGCCTTAAGGCACGATGCCCTAATTGCCTTAAGACAGAATTCCACTTACAGCTAGTTTCAAATAGTTCGATAGTCACTAGTTTTAATCAATAACAGCAATTTCAATGATGGTTGCACAGGTAATTGGAAAGAACAAAAATTTCTGATAAATGAAGTTACATTATCAAATTTTTAAATTTTAATAATAGATGGCATTTAAAAAAACTTAAAAAATACATTAATAAAAACTTATAAAATACATTAATAAGCAAATCACAACAAATACTGATCAATTTACAGTTTATATTTTCAAAATAAGATTCAAGTTCTGTGATAGATTTACATTCCATATATCAATATGTAATGCATGGAAGTAGGAATGCAATTGAAAATCTAGAAACGTTAAAAAATAATAAATTTAATCAATTAAAATATATTCATTTTGTAATATTTTACATTAAAATATATAATTTACGTCTACCAATTTTGCTTGCAATGCATAAACCCTGCACCGCGTTATGCATTAAGAAAGTAGTGCATGTTAAATGTGAAAGTATCATTTTGCAATAAACCTGGTACTAATCATACGATACTCGCTATATTACTAATTAGAAATTATTTTTAGCACATTCTTCATTTATTTTTTACTGATACCTAATATTATTATGCTATATTCATTATTTATTAACAATTCTGCATTTGTAATGAATATTGGTAATTACAAATATATAATTTTGTAATTACAATAACATAATTTACAATTTAACATCAATAATTTACAAAAATAAGAATCAAATCCAATAAATTACTATAATGTGCAGAGAACGTATATATTATTAAGGTGACCATACGTACCGGATTGGCCGGGAGAGTCTCGGATTTCCACCTTGTACGGGTTTTTCTAAAAGCAATATTTGTCCTGGATTCAGAAATTTGTCTTGGACTGTCCCGAGATTTCGAAAAGTGTCGAAAAATTTCGAAGAAAATTGAATAAAATTTTATAAAGAGATTATAAGCAAAAAAAATATATAGATCCCAAAATCTATATATATATATATATATATATATATATATATATATATATATATATATATATATATATATATAAGAGAATCGTGTTAGTTACAATACTTATAACTCACGAACGGCTGAACCGATTTAGCTGAAAATTGGCAGGGAGGCAGTTTATTGCCAGGAAAAAGACGTTTTTTATTCAAATTCAAATTTGATTTGATTTGATGATTCATATTTTATTTTAACTCTCAACCGGTTGTTTGTTTTGATACAAATATATTAATATAAATTTTTTAATTACCACAGAAAATTATTACAAAGTGGCAAATAAATTAATTCCTAATAATAGCAAGCGATGCCAGATGTCCATCTGGACAATGGAGAAATTTATTTCTTGAAAATGGGAATGTAATTATTTATATACTTAGGTATTTATGTATATTTGTTCATACGTATTTAAATAGAGTATTTGACGTGTTTATTATCAGCAATATGTATAATCAATAATAAATTAATAAAAAAAAATAATTTTAAAACATAGTTTCTTAACATAAATTCAAAATTTATAATAAAAATGTAAATAGTTATATATTGAAAGTTGTTAATTTACATTTAGTTGGTATGTTATTTTTATTTTTATTTATTTCGTTAGTTTATTAAAAAAAACTGCTTTTTTATTGCCATTAAGGCGCAACAAAGTGCGCCGGATCAGCTAGAATGATATAATATAATAAAACAATAATAAAGGTCTTACTTAAAAGTCAGGATTTCTGATTTTAAAAAAGATTTATTTAGATTTTTATTGTATTTATTTCAAAATCATAATTACCATACCCCCCTCCCCCTCACGAATTAGCATAACTTTGTCGCCTTAATATTATGGGATTATATGTTTCATTCATTCTTAACGTTCATGCCAAATGTTGAAATGTCTAACTGATGTTAACACTAAATAAATTTTTAGGATAATGATTTTGCAAAAAAAAAGGTAGCAGAAAATTTATACTAGTCACTATTAATCTTAAAAAAATCATATGTATGTCGTTTCTTTCGCAAGAGTATCTTTATTTTTTATTATATTTCATCAAAACTAACTAATGTTGTAACTATAATTAAAATTTTAAGAAATTTGATGTTAGCAGAAGTAACAAATTGAAATTAAAAAGAGACATAAAAAATGAAGTATTATAGAATGATGATTAACATAGTGCAGTCCTAAAATTTCAGGAAAATTTAGAGGTTTATTTATCCATGACGAAAAATTTTAATTTCATTGTCTATTATCTATTAAATATTTATTATGAGCTGAACTATTGTTTTATTAGTAATAAAACAATAGTTGTAATAGCTTATTACACAATATTATATTACATACTTTGTATTATACTTTAATAAAACTGTAAAAGCGTCATCTTTATGATATTAATATACAGTGAAGTAGTTTATGAGCTATCAATATACTAAGTGAAATGATAAGACATTCATTAATGCTAGAAGATTCGATGATTATTGAAGTTTGATCGTGATATATTTAATAATTTAGGTGCTGAACCTAATAGTTTTATCAAATGCTTTTTTTCAGGTATTCTGGTATCCATTCCTCAATTTCCAATCTATTCGGCGAATGTTGCCAAATTCAATATGGGCCAGATTGGATATTATTTAAATGAATCAGACAATTGGGCTCTTGATATGAACGAACTCAAAAGGGCCGTCGAAGAAGGAAGAAACAATAACATTTTACCTAGAGCCATTGTTGTAATGAATCCTGGAAATCCTACAGGACAAGTATTGACAAGGCGTAATATAGAACAAATTATTAAATTCGCTCATAAAGAAAGACTGATGATCATGGCTGATGAAGTTTATCAAGACAATGTTTATGCGGAAGAGTGCGAATTCCATTCATTCAAAAAGGTAAATATTTGTCTAGAAGACAATAATTAATAAGCATAATAATAATAATTATTAAGCACAATAAGAGTTAGAGTCATGACAGCACTTCAAATTTGAATTCACATTTATTTTTAAAATATAATTAGAAGATCCAGCATAGTTTGTAATAAATATTCTGATTTGCTATAAATGGTAATTTACAGATTAAATATTTTTTTTATAAAATCGTATAATTTCATCTTCACCTTATCATTAAGGTCGAGTGATATTTGAACTTATCAATTCAAAACCATAAATTTGAGAATATATGAACTATAAAAGGAGAGAAAAAGTAGTATAAAAATTATTGACAATTCTTCAAACGTTTTGTTCTTTGATGTGTGTCACAATTCAATAAATCATACCAGAAAGAACAAAATACATAGTTAGCATATTTTTTATATACATTTTGAATTAACAATCACATAAACAATGTTAATTTCTAACTAATAGTTACATGAACATTATGGGAGAAAAATTAAACATTTATAGGTCATGCAAATTTTTTCATAAATAATAATGCATAATGCATCTTTACCCAATTATAATTCGATTTTTGTAATTCGACTAATTGGTTGTCATGAAAATGACTCAATTCAAAATTTTAAGTGAATAAAGTTTTAATAATGACTAAAAGTAAAAATATAACATTTTGGTAAATAATGATACATAAATTATGTATCATTTGGAATACCTTAGAAAAAATGGATGTATGTGTGTGTGTATATATGTGTGTGTATGTGCGTGTATGTGTGTGTGTGCGGATACAAATTTTCGTCAACGATTTCGGGAACACGGATGAAGCAATTTGAATAATTCACAAAACATTCGATTCGTATTGATAAGGGCACGTGCTGATTAGTTTTTGGCGAAGGCAGGTCTAGCCGTTCCAAAGATATGGGGCAAAAAGTGCCAAAAACGGTAACTCAGTTTTTAAGAGAACGGAGCGTCCGATTTGAATAATTCAAAAAATATTTCACTTGTATTAACACCAGATGAAGAACTGACCAAATTTTCATGAAGGCTGGTCTAGCGGTTTCGGAGATCTAGTAAAAAAAGTGAAAAGCGACGCGGCGCTTACGCGCTTCCATATTTCATCTCTTTGCAGTTTAAGCAGTACGATTGCTTTGCAAAAAAGTTCAGAATTTCCAAAATATTTCAAAATAATTAACTTCCCGTAGGGCAAGTTATAGTAATCGCAAAAAAATCGAAAATGAAAATTTTTATATATCTTTACGTTTCAGAGGTTTCTGAACATTTTGGCATACCTTAGAAAAAATGGATGTATGTGTGTGTGTGTGTGTGTGTGTATGTATGTATGTATGTATGTATGTATGTATGTGCGGATACAAATTTTCGTCGACGATTTCGGGAACACGGATCAACCGATTTGAATAATTCCAAAAACATTCGATTCGTATTGATAAGGAGACGTGCTGATTAGTTTTTGGCGAAGGCAGGTCTAGCCGTTCCGAAGATACGGGGCAAAAAGTGCCGAAAACGGTAACTCAGTTTTTAAGAGAACGGAGCGTCCGATTTGAATAATTCAAAAAACATTTCACTTGTCTTGACAAGATGAATAATCGATAAAATTTTCATAAAGGCAGGTCTAGCGGTTTCGGAGATATAAAGAAAAAAGTAAAAAAATGAGCCATTTGGCGGTCAAAAATGATCATTAGACATATGCACATCAAATTATCAGATATTTATAGAGATTTTAACAATAAGTATACATTTTTTTAACATTCCTATGGGTTCCGTACCAATGCTTATGCGTTAGAGAGCGACGCGGCGCTTATGCGCTTTATATTTTGTCCCTATGCAGTTAAAGCAGTACAATTGCTTTGAAAAAAAAGTTCAGATATTTCACAATATGTCAAAATAAAAAAATAATTAAAAAAAAAAAAAAAAAAAATTAAAAATTTTTTTTTTTTTTTAAAAAAAATTTTTTTTCAAAAAAAAGTAATTTTTTGTCCAGTTTATAGTTTCTCAAAAATCTTATTTTTTAAAAGTGAATTTTTTTTAAAAATGTTAATCGTTTTTAAAAAAATAATAATTTTTGGTACGGGAAGTTCCAGCAATTTGCCTCAAGGCACGATGCCTGAATTGCCTTAAGACAGAATTCCACTTACAGCTAGTTTTTTCTTTAAAAAGTCTTTTTATTTCAAAAAAAAGTAAATTTTTGTCAAAAATTTGTAGTTTCTCAAAAATCTAATTTTTTCAGAGTAATTTTTTTTCAAAAATGTTAAACGTTTTAAAAAAAAAATAATTTTTGGTACGGAAAGTTCCAGCAATTTGCCTCAAGGCACGATGCCATGCGCCCCATTAGTTTAATATTTAAATACATAGTAGTTGCATATTATGAATATTAATAAAAAATATTTTTTAAGGTTCTGAAAGAAATGGGCCCACCTTACGATCGTATAGAATTGGCATCCTTCATGTCGACATCTAAGGGTTGGCATGGAGAATGCGGTTTGAGAGGAGGTTACATGGAAATTATAAACTTGCATCCTGATGTTCGGACAATGTTGCTCAAAGCAGCCTCCACCGTACTCGGACCAGCCACTCTTGGTCAAGTGGCAGTTGACGCTGTGGTAAGTAGATTTATTAATTTCACGTAGGGTAATTTATAGTAATCCTAAAAAATCTAAAATGAAAATTTTTGCATATCTTTACGTATCAAAGGTTTGTGAACATTTTGACATACCTTAGAACAAGGATGAGCAAGCCCGCCGGATGCTTTTCTGCGGCCCGCCAAGCATTTCTCAACAACAGATTATTTTCTAGATATTTTATCAAATACGGCTGTAAGAACTAATTTTGTTGTCAGTCAAATACTGTTAAAAACTGTTGTTCACAGAAAAATGCATTTCCTGATGAAATAAATATTAATTTATTGCAAGAAACTTGTCCGAGAGCATAGCAACAACAAATTATATTTATTAAAATAATTTAATAAGTAAATCTTATAAAGTCGCGAGGGTACAATCATCGTGAATGTGTTTTTTAATACTAAAGTACGTTAGCTTAAGGGTGATGCAATGCTCAGGAGTATACGACCCAAATGGCGATATTTATAAATTGTTTTTGGATATGAAAGAACAATTGTAGTACTTTCGTAATTTTGGTAATAAATCATAATATCTTTTGCAGAATCTTGTGTTTCGCTTTTCATATTTAGGAAAAAAAAGTGAACAAATTTTAATTGTGATTCCAAATGTTCAAAGGTAACAAGACAGCTGTTTTCATGTAAATGCTTTCTTCACTATTCACCATGCAAATAATATAGCATGCAATATAATGCAGATTTAAAAATTGTATTTTTTCAGTAAACATCGTTTTTTTTTATGAATCTAATGTTAGCCCTGACAAATTTTCTTTCACTAAAGTGTCTATTCTACTACAGTTATAAATATTTTATTTTCGCTTTTGAAAAACAAAACGCAAATCAAATTATGATAATTTTCTTTGGAAGTACGTATGTGTGCGTACAATTACACAGGTCCAGAATAGAGAAGGATAATAATTAATAGCTGAAAAATGTTTAATCCATTAAGAAAAAAAATCTAGATTGAGGATTGGCCAGTTGTTAAATGTTTTTTTCCATATTTGTGTCCCAATTTTGACTATATATTATTACATTTGAAAGCACATGTCACACACCCAATTAAGACAATTTTTTTTTGTGGACTTGTATTATTTCAACCATAAAATTCATAAAAAAATAGCACATATCAAAACTGAGTAAATTCAAATTTGCATACGTGTTGCTACTTTTCGTATTAAAAAATATAAAATAAAGAACAAAATTAAAAAAAAAACGGCTGATATTGATCAGCTTATATAAAAGCAGTGCCAAATTCTTATTAAAGTTTTCAAGTAAATTAGTTTTCTGTTCAACTATTTGTTTTATTTTGTAGTAATATTTATAAACACTTATACACTCGTAATTATATAAAATAATATTTTTTAATTTTGAATTTTGTTCTTGTGGCAATTTTCTAATTTTTTTGCAATTACATTACCGCTCTCAGTCAATAAATCTTTTGACTTATTTTAGTTCAGACTTTTGAGTTTATAAAAAAGCTTCAATTTCATTCAAAAAGAAAAAGCAATTTTTTGTTCTTTATTTTAATTTTTTTAATGCGGAATGGTAAACTACATACAACTCCAAATTTTCATTATTATATATTAGTCATTTAAGTAGTCCAATCAGTTTTTACATAGCTCGGTGATCGATGAATTTACTTTTATCGCCATTTTTGTGAACATTTTTAATTGAAATTCGATCAAAATTTTCTGAGTTTATAAAAAATCCTAAATTTATCTGTCAGCTGCAACATTTTAAAAACAATTCTTAGATATTGGCAACGAAAGGGTTAATTCAATAAAAATAACTGATTGTAGACTTATCCTATTGTACTTGTCTTGCAAAAGGAGCAATTTTAGCGAAAAAAATTAAAATTTTAATATATATATGAAGATATAACTGTTTCTGAGAGAAAAACTGAATTTTTTCAGAGTTATTGAAACCTCACTCGTTTCGCTAAGCATAGCGTAATATAATTCAAATATGGATGTTAGTATTTCAGCATTTCAGTGGGTAAATCATCGATGTATTTGTGTTAGTTGCCCCTCATTTATATACCTCATAATTATACATTCAGAATTAGTTAGTCATTTCTTTTACTAATGATTTTCTAAAAATATTTCCTGTGGCTAAACGTTTGCCGGGTCAGCTAGTATATATATATATATATTATATATATATATATATATATATATAAATTACGTGCGGCCCGCCATAAAATTTTAAAATTTAAATTGGCCCGCGGGTTAAAAAGGTTGCTCGCCCTTGCCTTAGAAAATGTGTGTGCGTGTGTATGTTTGGATAAAATTTTTGGTCCACGATTTTGGGCGCATGGATAAACCGATTTAAATGGTTCATGAAACATTCGATTCCTACTGATGGGGACACGTGCTGATTAGATTTTGGCGAAGACGGAACCAGCGGTTTCGAAGATACGGGGCAAAAAGTGCCAAAAATCGTATTCAGTTTTTGAGGTAACGGAGCGCCCGATTTGAATGATCCAACATTTTACGCGTATTGACAAAATGAAGGATTAGTTGAATTTTTGGGAAAGCAGGCCCAGCGGTTTCGGAGATACAGAGGAAAATGTGAAAAAATATATTTAGCGGTCTCAAATGATCATTAGACATATACATATCAAATTATCAGATATAGAGATTTGAAACATGAGTACTAAACATGAGTTCCGTACTAATACTTTAATTTTTAAAGTTCACTGATACGGTTCAAGCAAATTTCAAAATTTCCTCTTTATATCCTTAGATGGATTCATTCAGCATTTCTTCTTAATGTAAACACTTTCAAGTGTATTGAGCGATAAGATCGTCACTGTATATTATATAAACGAATAAATATACATACATACATATAGTAATTATAATTATCTGTTTGAAAATATTTAAAACAATTGTTAATAATGATTGATCAATATTTATTGATTATTAATTTTTTGCTCGAATATTTAATTCTGGTACAGAAAGTTCCAGCAATTTGCCTTAAGGCACGATGCCATGCACCACTAGTTAAACATTTAAAATACTAATATCAAACATATCTCTCGAATGTCCCGTCTAATATATGCAATTAATAAATTCTATTAACAAAATCATTCATAGAGCATAATTCATTTTTAGTTGGCTAACAGCTTGATTTTCTGTATTCATTAAACGGCAATACTTTCATATAAAGTTTTTGAACAGCTTGTTTGACTTAAATGCTTAGTTACAAAATATTGTATTAGAATATAATAGTTTACTAATATAACTTTTCATGGCCAAGTAGTATCACAAAATATATCTAAAATTTTAGGTGAATCCACCACGGCCAGGTGAACCTTCGTATGATCTATTTATTAAAGAAAAGCAAAACGTGCTCAATTCTTTAGCTGAGCGAGCTCAACTCGTAGCTGATGCCTTCAACAGTTTCGAAGGTTTCTCTTGCAATGTTGTCCAAGGTTCGATGTACGCTTTTCCTATGATAGAACTGCCACCAAAAGCCATAGAAGCAGCTCACAAAGCTGGTAAGTCACCAGATGTATTCTACGCATTCGCTTTGCTGGAAAGAACAGGTATATGCATCGTGCCAGGATCAGGATTTGGGCAAAAACCAGGGACTTATCACATCAGAACGACAATCTTACCACAGACGGATATGCTGAAGGATATGTTAAATAAATTCGCAGAGTTTCACAAAGAATTCTGTGCACAGTACAGATAAATCGTACTCGTGAAAGAAGTGTCAGATTTTTAACAAATGACAATTTGCAAGAAACCTTTGTTTCTTGACATTTTGCTATGTATAATATTAACTTCAGTATAGCAAACTACTTATTTTTATTTGCATTTTTCAACAAAGCTAATTTTTTGTTGAACATATTCTATTCATCATCAATATGTATAGTTATATATAAATATAATTCTACATATTGCCTTCCATAAAATTCATCCGCATACTTTCCAAGATTTTTATTTTCTATACTTTGCAGTAAGCTACAGCAAAAATTTATTTTTTTCATATTTATTATAATATTTATTTTTAAACTAGTTAATGTATAACTTTAAGTCTGTTGTGATAACTTTGTCCTTTTCTACATGATTTTATTGAATGATTTATATTTATAGCTTTTAGTGAAAACCAGAATATAAATAATTAGTAAAACAATATTTATACCAAAAATGCTGCCTTGTTCAAGTTTGGCTTTTGGGAATTGATAATAGATTAATTACTGAATTTTTACTCATCCTTTAAAATATAAAATATGCATTTTTGATATATTATATGAATTACCTGTTTTATTCAGCGGTAACTAAAGCTAAATATTGAATCATTAGAATTAACTATCAAATTGTAGTTTTATACAATTAATTAATGGCCATTATTTGGCATACCTGTTATGTATAATCTCAACGTTTGTATATTATATTTGTATATAATTAAAAAATCTAATATAATGATGAACATTTTTTTCCTAAATATCATATTTAGCAGAATTTTGAATAATATAGAAAAATACATTAATTCATTAATAAATTCTAACTTAATATCTATACATTACAATTTGAAAGTTTGTAATAAATCCTAATATCAGGCAAGCAATGAGATGCACCATTTGAATCAAAAACATCATGCAACAATATTGTTTATATTAAATATGTATTGCAAAGCATTTTATTAAAAATTTAATATTTCTTCTTTTAGGTAAATTTTGAAGTAATAGCCATATTAATAACTAATGTGAAACCAACTAATTAACAAAGTGTTGTTTTGCATTAAATTATAAATAATAATGATAGTGATAAGTGATTTATCTCGTCTGAATGAGATTTGACACTTCATTTGGATCAAAAACAAATGTTCAAAATATTAAAACTATCAAAATCATTAAGGTTGCCACTATTTTTTTGTAAAAATATTTAGGAATAGGTGGCATTAAAATCATTATGGCTTGTAAATGCACCGAAGATGGAAAAGGTGGAAAAGATGAGAAACCAAAGAAGTTTATCACTTTAGACAGTATCAACCAAAACATCGTTAAGGCGAAGTTTTTATGTGGTGCTTTATTTGAACGAGCTGATGAGCTTCAAAAGGAACTGGATGAAGTAAAATTAACACATTTTTAAAAACAATATATTAATTTTATAATCAAATCGCAACTCCTTCTTAGTAAGCTAAATATAACATAGAAGTTCAGTATATTGCTAACATGCTTTTAAAACTTTAAACGTAATTGATTGATTTTTGTTGATTACGTTTTGGATCCAGTAATTTCTTATATTTCTCAAAATTATTAACAAAAGTAAAATAAGATTTTTTGTATATATTCTAATTAATATATCAAACTTTACAGGGCAAAACGCTGTGTTTTGATGAAATTATAAAGGCAAACACTGATGATGGTCAATCTATGGGTCAAAAACCTATTACTTATATAAGACAGGCGAGTATCAGTATTGTATTAATTATTAATATTAGTATTGTTTTAATTATTAATATTAGGTTTACAGTTTTAATCAATAGTAATACTAGCATGCATGTTTATAGAAGTCAAATTAAAAAAAAATAACAAATTTCTTATAAACATGCGCTAAGTTGTTTGTAGAATACGCTTTTAGCCTAATTGTAGAAAGTACTTATGTATTTATAATAAATGATTTATTTGAAATTATTCAAAACAATTATTGATTATTTTCATTTTTCGAATGCTTAGTTACGGTACGGGAATTTCCAGCAAATTGCGATTCCATTCGCCCCACTAGTTTCGTTTTATAAGACAGTCTTTCTTACATATCTTTGATATTTTCACAGGTGGTTGCAATAGCTACTTGTCCAACACTATGTTGTCAACCAAATTTTCCAACAGACGCAAAGAGCCAAGCTATGGCTATTATACGCAGTACTACAAGCCAGAGCCTTGGTTCTTTCGCAGATTTCCGTGGAATTTCCGTTGTTAGGCAACATATTGCTGAATATATTGAGGATAGAGATGGCATTCCGGCTAATGTCGATGATATATTTATTGTATCCGGCATTACAAGTATAACTGATTTGCTTGCAAGCAGCGATAAAAAGAAAGGTACAACTAAATTGACCATCAATAGTAAAAACACATTGTAACACATTCAATATGTTGCAGGAATTATGATTCCATATCCCCAATTTCCGCTGCATGGATCTACCATATCTTGTTCTGGCATGGAAATTATCAAATATTATTTAGACGAGTGCAAAGGTTGGGCTTTCGATATAGAAGAAATGAAAAAAGCAATAACAGAAGCTAAAAATAATAATATAGAACCTTGTGGTATACTCATAATTAGCCCTGGAAATCCGACGGGACAAGTTCTAACAAAAGAGACCATACAAGATATCATCAAGTTTGCTAATGAACAATCCCTCATGATCTTAGCAGATGAAGTTTATCAGCATAATATTCACGACAAATCCCTACAATTTCTTTCTTTCAAAAAAGTTAGTAAAATAATGCTATTAATTAGTACCCTAATTTAGAAATTATATAGTTCCAGAATTTCACAGCATGAAATGAAAGGATAAAATGTTTAGCTGATATAAGAATATTTCTTCTCTTCTATTTTAGGTGATGAAGGAAATGGGTCCACCTTATGACCAAAGTGAGTTATGTTCGTTTATGTCAATATCCAAAGGATGGTATGGTGAAAGTGGTTTTCGAGGAGGTTATATGGAATTAGTAAATGCGGATCCCGATGTTAAAGGCGTGTTACTAAAGCTTTTGGCTAATCGTTTAGCCTGCGCTACACCAGGTCAAGCAGTATTAGATTGTATTGTAAGCATTTCTTTACACTTAAATAATAAAAGTAGATCATAGTCCAAATTGTAATCATAATCATTATAAAATATTCAAAAAAATCATATCCCCAAATTTTATAATTTTAGGTAAAACCTCCGTCAAAAGAATCAGAATCTTTCGGCCAATTTTGTTCTGAAATTCAAGCTATAAGTTCATCTAATGCAGAACGAGCAAAATTTGTAGAGGAACAATTGAACTGTTTAAAAGGATTTAAATGTCATCCTATACAAGGCGGAACGTATGCTTTTCCCAGCATATGCTTGGCTAAAAAGGCTGTAGAAGAAGCGAAAAAAAGATGTCAGGAGCCCGATTTTTTCTATGCGTCCGAATTGTTAAAAAATACTGGAATTCTTGTTGTACCTGGATCAGAATTCGGTCAAAAAGAAGGCACATATCACATCGCGATATCAATTCTACCGCCTATGGACAAACTAAAATCGTTGTTTGAGAAGTTTAATGAATTTAACAATGATTTCACATCAAAGTATTGGTAAATATGGCAATATTATAAAAGCATGTGTCAATAATGTCATTTTAAGTGGCCATATATTACAATTCCTGACAAATATAATCAAGATAAATGAAAACATTCTGAGAAATCAGCTTTCTCATCCTGCAATTTTCAATAATTGAAGGTTACATAAAATATAGGCCTGAATACTAAAAGTGACTAAGTAATATGTCGGATATTGCTAAGTTATATTAGAAGAACCTATACCACTATTATGAATGAAAATGATTTATTTCATTTATCAATTGTGAATATTCGGTTTCACTTACAATAACTTGAAATTATCGATTTTGAAAAATTACAAGTATTGTGGTAAAAAAGTATTTACATTTTGCTTATCCAAATATTAAAAATAGATCTATATAACATTATATGTCGTCATTAATATTTTATGTCTCTATTAAAGTTAATCATGATTCAAAGTTTAATATTAAAAATTAAACTTAGAATTTATTATTATTTTATTATAATCGATGTTATTCTCTTACAGTTGATGCGCAAGTGTGATTGCAATGTGAAATTGAGTTTAAAAAATGAAGAAATTAATAGTTGGACTTAAAATTAAAAAAAAAATAGTATGCGTATTTGATAAATTTTATTGTTATGATTATTTTTAGATTTGATGTACTTTTTTGTAATTTATTTATGCATCTTAATATAATGTTACTAAACAAAATTATAATTTTTATTATAATTCATGTTTATTGATTTAATACTGGTAATTAATATATATTGATATAATGCTGGTTTAATGTTTGGTTATTAATATATATTGATTTAATACTAGTTATACTAGTAATACTTTTATAATACCTATGTGAGGTGCACAAAACCTGTGTCACAGATTTTAAACTGAAAAAAATTCTAATATATTAATTTCACGTAGGGTGGAGTGACCGTAAAAAATCGAATACGAAAGTATTTATATAGCTTTACTGTATCTGAACATTTTGGCATACCTTAGAAAAATGGATGATGTGTGTATGTGTGTGTGTTTGGATACAGATTTTTATCGACGATTTCGGAAACGCGGATCAACCGATTTGAATAATTTAAAAAACAATCGATCGCTATGATTTAGGTGACGTGCGGATTACTTTTTGGCTAAGACAGGTTTAGCCGTTTCGAAAATACGAGAAAAAAGTGTCAAAAACGGCACTTGAGTTTCTGAGGAATCGGAGCTTAAGCGTTTCGATATTTTGTCTCTACCCAGCCAATACCAAATATTTCAAATTAAAATTAAAATTAAAAAAAGTCTCAAAAATCTTATTTTTCAGTTTTCAAACAAATTTGTAGCGTTTTCTGTATGTTATTCTGTATATTCTGTATATTTTAATTAAAAGTGGTATTAAAATAAAACTGACTTGATAAAAGTACAGAATCCTCTATATATTACACGAAAAATTTTATTTTGAAAACAAACAGAATCATTTTTTGTGTTACAGTCCATGTCCATATGAACACAGGGTATTCTAATATTGCCTAGGGTCCAGGTCGATACCATGTCGATTCTATGTTCTATGTATTCCGTTCTACTAGTAATGTTTTTCTTTGGAACCGTCGTCAGGTGATCGCTAATAAAAACATTTCCTTTCGATCAAAATAAAACATGCACATTGTTTGGTTTATCTATAAAAACAAATGCAGCTAAAATATTTAAAATCTATTTTAAATGCACAGGTATGTTTTACTTTGCGATAACATTCACCTTAAGTATAATTTTTAACTAAGCAAGTGCTCGAAATATTTCACCGACTCTATAATGAATTAATATTGATATGTCAAAATAAGAACTACTGTTTTTAAATATCATTTTTTTTTCTTTTCTTTTCTTTTTTTTTAAGATTTTAAAATAGTATGTTTTATTCTGTAGTTTGCATTTATCATAAGGTGATATAATTTACTATTAAGAAGGTGAACTAATTATTTGACCAACTTTATGAATTTTGAAAACTATTTAATATTGATATGTCAAAATATAAACATTATTTTGGTTACTATTCTGGCTTGTATGAATATTATAATCATGTAACATTTGATTGTATGTTTTAAAATTCCGAAATGTGTATTGCTTACAGGGTAGTTTACATTTACCTAAAGACTTTATTATTTAAAATGATAATTAAGAAAGTGCTCAAAAATTTACACTAACTAGATAATAATTTAAAATTGATTTGTTAAATTAAATACATTAATTTTTAATATCAATATCTCTTGTGTAAAATGTTTATTGAGATTTGAAAGTAGTAAAAAAATATATTTTTGATAAACTTAATTAATGATTAGATTATGAGTTTATGAAATTATTTATCATATCATATCCTGTTATACCACAAATTTTTTCATAATTTGTTAACCCTTTCCACTCGGATGCCGCCCGAATTCTGCATTTAGCGATTGGAGAAGATTATACTTTGTTTTTTAACATTCTTATTAATTTCATACATTAGTGAAGTAAATTCAATGGAATATGTAATTTAATGCATTATCAATTACTAAGGAAATATTTTAATATTGTTTTTAACCTGTTTTGCAATATGATCTCTTATGTGATATTAAAAAAATAATAATATTTTGAACATTAAAAACTTAATAATAATTATTATTAATCTCAAAAATTATATATTGTATTTTGTATAAATCGATTTATATTTTCATAAATTTTGTATTCAAATTTTTCATACACTATAAAAATAAATTCAATGAGAAATGAAATATAATACATAATCAATAACTATAATGAAATATTAATGTTGCTTTTAACTTATTTTGCATTGTTAATCTCTCATCTGCTTTAATAAACTTGAAAATTAAAAAAAATATAATAACTAATTAAAAATTAATTAATTATTAATATCTCCTAAGATCATATATTTTATGTTGTTAACCATTGATTCATATTTTTGTAAAGTTTATAATTATCTTTTTAATCTATCTTTTACGCAAATTTATGAAACTCGAACTTTAATACACCTATCAATAACTAAATAACCCTTTCCACATGCCGCCGCTCCGGCTGCAAAATACATGTTAAATCCGGAATTAGCGCATGGACAGGTTAATTAATATTACTCAATATTTTGATTTCTTATTCTGCTCTCATCACACATTTTTTTTATTAGGACCACGAAAATCGCATAGCGGCTTTGGCTTGGTCGCCCAATAATGTAAAGCTCGCAGTTGGGACTTCCGACCGCACCAATTCTTTTATTCGACGAAAATGGAGAAAGACGGGACAAATTTTCGACGAAACCAAGCCAACCTGAAAATGGTAAACGATCATATATCATCAAATCCTTGGCCTTTGGACCGGACTCAACAAAACTTGCAGTGGCGCAATCTGATAGCATTGTCTTCGTGTACAAAATTGGCGACAATTGGGGTGATAAAAAGGCAATTTGTAATAAATTTGCACAAGGTTCTGCAGTCACCTGCGCTATATGGCTCCTCTCAGGTAGTTGAACATAACTAATTAATAAAGCAGCTATAGATTCATTTATTATCTTAATCAGTAAATTTTATTTGTATTTGCTTTTATAATCAACCACATGTTTTTCTTAATACGCAAATGTGTATATTGTATCAACTAGTGGCTTTCAAAGCATAGACATCGGTTTACTACTAACTTATATTTTATTTTTTAAAGGCGCTTTAATCTGCGGACTGGCAGATGGCAAAATCCGTCTACTAAATCTAAAAACTAACAAATCGCAAACGCTTTATACTACTGATAGCTTCGCCGTTTCATTGGCGAGTAACAATCAAGGAACAGGATTTCTTTCTGGTCATGCAGATGGCACAATAGTAAGATTTTTCACCAGCGATGGTCATTCGGAACAACAAGGACGTGTGCTGGTGCATTCAGTGGCGCCATATGCACTTGCATGGTTGCAAGGACAGGTAAAAAATATAAATCATTAGTAAGAGATATCATTATTGTTCAATGAATTAGATAGTCTAACCTTTAATTGAAGTATTCTGCAATAATTTGAACGTTAAAACAAATTTGTTTTCAAAGATAGGTTTTCTACGCGGCATACATAATCACGTCATAGTTCATTTTTGTTATTATTTTTGTATTACTGTTTTTATTTTATTTTTATTTTAACTTTTTTCATTTTATATTCAATTTATTGCATTTTTTTTTGTATTTTGTATTTTTTTTGCTCATATCAATTTTGTAAATAAGACATTAAAGTCTTGATTAACAAAAATAAATTGTAACAAAAATAGTAATTGTAAAAAAAAGATAGGTTTTCCATTTCTGAACTTAGATAGAACTTAGTTAGATAGAACTTGACAAAGTTGAAATTGTATTGCAATAGTTTATATAAACTGCAGAATATTATTTGCTTAACTAAAAATTCAAATCGTTCATGCAAATCAAATTGTTTCTGGTTCTGACGACATTTTTCAGATATTAGTAATTTATTCCTTTTTCTCGAATCTACTTTGGTATACAAATCTGCGCTTAGGAAAAAAAACAATGGATATTTGGGCTAGTTTAAAAATATTGAGTGACTCTATTTTTTATACCATAAAATCGGGTAAAATTAATAATTAATTATTAATTATTTACAATTAGATACTTGTCGGAGGTAGTGATCGCCGAGTTTGCATATATGATGCCCAAGGCAAAATGACTAAACAGTTTGATTATACAAGGGACGATGATGAAAGAGAATTTACAGTTGCGTGCTGTAGTCCAAGTGGGCAGGTAATTTAATATATATTAATACATACATTTTCAAGATTAAAAATATCTATAATCTACAAAATTAATAAATTAATATTAATTTAAATACTATCTACATTAAATTCAAACATCCCTAGTATTCATATCTAAAACATTTCGCATATATTATAACTTTCTTGACTTAGCCCTTGTTATGCAGTTGTAGTATATAAATCAAGATCTCAGTGACATTAGTAACTTTAACATTAGTAGGATTAATTTCGAGATCTGCAATCCTAATCTTATCA